AGAGACACAATTCCCTTTGCTCTCTCTTTTTCAGACCTTTCAGTGGTCTGAAATTAGTTTGAGATGACCTAAAAGCAGAGTTGGAATGGTTGCAGAGGGGATCTCTCTGCATGCTCAGATGTGAGCTGTAGGACGGGTGGGCACCTCCTAAAACACCTCCAGGCCAGGTGGATCCAGGGTTCCCACAGAGGATGGAGCTTCTTGGTTTGTCTCAGGGACAAATTCCTGCCAGCATCGAATTGAGAGCAGGGGACAGAGCAGAACTGCTTGAGCCTGGCAGGGGACTCTGGGATCAGGAGCACGGGTGCCACAGCCTTGGAGCAGGACATGGACATGTCCTGGTTCTGCTGGTACCTCTGGGCCATCTCCCACAGCCAGAAGAGCTGGGGCACACTGGTGTGGCTTTGTGTTTCCCCATCCTCCTGCCAGGAAAATGCTCCTCTGGAATGCTCTGTGTGAACTCTTCCCCCCTGGCAGGAGATCTTTGGGGAGGGGAGGGCAGGGCTCAGGTGTTCAGGGATCAGCAGGATCATGGAGCCAGGATGGCCAAGCTAGGAGAAGGCTGGGATGGGACAACCCTTGCAGGAGGCGCTGCTGCAGCTGGAGCTGAGCTGGCAGCAGCAATAATCCAAATTTTTCTCAATCTGCTCCAATGCAGGAGCATTGGAGGGGAAAAAAAACCAAAAAAAAAGCCCCAAAAACCCAAACCAACAACAAAACAAGACTCACAAACCAAAAACAAACAAACAAACGAAACAAAACAAAAAAAAACCCAAACCAGGTGGGACAAGGACATCCCACAAGAGCATGGCAGCTCCTGAGGACACTTTTCCCTGGGTGATGGTGACCAAGCACAAGGTGAGGCTACCCCATTTAAAACCATTTAATAGCTCAGTGTTTCTGGCCTTTAGCACAAGCAACCCCACGTCCCAGCTCCTGTCACTCTGTCCCTAAAATGGCCACTCGGAGGAATCCACGCTGTGTCCCTGCCAGCCTGGCACGTGTCCCCTGTCACCCTCACGAGCAGGAGCTGAGGTTTCCACGCTGGGGACTGGGATCCCTTGATCCCCGTGAGCTCCTGCTGACAGCAAGGACGGGATGGGAAAATGTGACATTCCCATTCTCTGGGCAGAGAGACAGAATTCTGTCTCTCGGGAGAAGCACAGAGAGAATAAAACAATCTTTCTCTCTGCTCCTTTGTTTGGCCCATGTGGAATGTGGCATGGGGATGGTTCACCTGCAGTGATGGCTGGGTTGGATTTTGGTGAAGGATGTTTGGGGTCAGTGATGAATGGATGCAGCTGTGGCTGGGGCTCTCAGCAGAGAGTCACGGGTTTGAGTTAGATAGGTAAGTAAGAAGTGAGTATGTAGAATATTAAAGTATTGTGGGAATTTGTGGTATTGATGAT